TTTTTCCTGTCATGCTTCTTGTCACATCACAGGGAGATGATGCTAGTCAACTAAAATTACCTTATGGTAGCCTAAGGCGATGTGGCCTCAAACCGCCACCATTTCAACTTGCAAATATTTTTCCTTTACTTTTTCAATATTCAGAAAAAACTAAAACCACCCTCGCTTCCCCAAAATGTTTAAATTACTTCCTAAGGCACAAAAACTAAAAAAAGTTATTAAAAACGAAGCATCAGCAAAACAGCACTAAAACAACATTTGCTGATATTCTTAACCATTCGGCAGAGAAAATCACTAGTAACACTAATGACAGAGTATTCACAGTGCTGCAAAAATTGTCTAGAAGGAAAATCTGGTCTCAGCATTTACAGGGAAGAGAAAAATCTGAATATCCTTCTCAAAATTAATACTCCCTTAACAGAATTGTTGCAATACTATAAAACCAAGGGCTCATTTCAAATTCCCTCTACTATCCTTGAAGTCTATGTAAATGGTTTCTTTAGTAGCAACATGACCATAATGAAAAGAAACCAACAAGGGAAAGACAAAAAGACAATTTGCAGAAAGCCTGTGAGAACTTATAAGGCAGAGATAGGAAGTTCTACAAGACAAATTCATTTTCACTGAGGGGTGACCTAATCAATGTTTATAAATATGTAAAGGGTGAGTGTCAGGAGGATGGAGCCAGGCTCTTCTCTGTGACATCTAGTGATAGGACAAGGGGCAATGGGTTCAAGCTGGAACATAGGAGGTTCCACTTGAATATGAGAAAAAACTTCTTCACGGTGAGGGTGACAGAGCACTGGAACAGGCTGCCCAGAGAGGTTGTGGAGTCTCCTTCTCTGGAGACATTCAAAGCCCGCCTGGATGCGTTCCTGTGTGATCTGATCTAGGTGTTCCTGCTCCGGCAGGGGGATTGGACTAGATGATCTTTCGAGGTCCCTTCCAATCTCTAACATTCTGTGATTCTGTAATTTCTCATTTGAGTGGGTACAGTAGAGTACAGGAAAGTTTCATTTAATCCTTAAGAGCATTAACACTTTCCAAGCACTATCCTCTTATCCTGTGCAATTAGGAGATAGTCTGTTCCTCCCTCCTTCTGATGCACCAGTACCATTCTGTAAGAAAGTGAAAGGGATTCATAAGCTATTTATGCATTTCCCTTATATTTTCATATGAAGTCTTTGGTGCAGGGTTTTGATATCAGAATTTTCTTTTCAAGCACATAAAGATCCAGGTAGACCCAAACTGCGACTTCCAGATGCATCTACAAATCTCAGCAAAAGCCTGATATTAACTAACATTTCTGAGGTTATGAAAAGTAAATGTACAGAGACTAAAAGATAAACTCACAAACTTGGATTCTCAGGGCTCTTTGTTACTCAGGAGCAGTCCCATCAGCAGTGAATAAAACTCATCATGTATAAGGCATTCTTATGCCACGAACAGCTACTTCTGACAAGCAATGTCTGTAAAATCACTTCCATCTATTATTCTGCTCCAGAAAACAAAATATGATTAAAAATTCTTACTGGACTCCTTTTACTGATCACTAAGGAGTAGCATACATCAAGGAAAAAAAAACCAAACCCAAATTCAATAATGACTACTAGTCTTTTCCTGGGAGAAAAAATTATGCCTGAATTAAGAATGCTGATTGTGTTAACAAAGAAAGAAAAGGATAACATGGCTTTTGAGGGAACAGCAAGAATGACAGAATCAAGACAGATGAGTACATAGTATATCTTATTATTACGTTAGTGATGTAATTTATGCTTAGTCAATTTGCCATAACTCACACCTCTATCTCTTTAAATAGTTTTCCACTCAATTTGTACTTCCCAACATAATCTTTTCATTATGATTTTGAGTTCAATTTCAGCTTCGCAGAAGCGTCTAGATCTGATTTTTTTTCTCTGCGTATCTCTAGAAATCACAAATATTTGCTTAAAAGTTATATATGGTCAAGAAGTGCCCATTTTGTTATTTGAAAAATTATTACTAAAACTCATTACAGTTATCATATGAAAAATATTAAGGACATGAAATATTTTGGTTTTCATTTAGCTTCGCTATCTCTTCTGACAATACTAGGGCAGTACTGTAGCTACTATCAATAAGTTCATATGTTCTATCATCTGGTTTTGCAACTTGTCTAGAACTTTTTTAATGGTTGAAGTATGGCAATATCAGAGTTCTTACACAGATGTACTTATTCACCTGAATACTTTAAAGAGATTGAATAAGCTAATAAGACTTCAGGGAAGAACTGCAATTTTGAAACCGCAGCTTATAAAGGAAACTACCTCCTTTCTTTTGTGCAACGAATCAACGACCAGATGAACTCATATCAGGCAATAACTCTTCCTGCCTCTTCTTTGCCCAGCCTCCAATCAGTGCATAGTACTGATCATAGAGAGAATTTGAGACTCCAAGGACTTTTTATAGCCTTATGGGTTTCAGTTCCTACCATAGAAAAGACAATGTTTGCTTCATAGCTGTTGTCACACTGCATTTTAAACTTTATTATACTGGGAGTTTATACCAATTCCACTGAAGTATCTTGCTGGTCTTTAGCTGCCATAACCGGGACAAAATGTCAATGTAAATGAAGTCTAAGTTTTACATACAAGGCAGCACTGTCACACACTGAAGAAAAGCAGGTGACTTTTACCTCAAACACAAAGTTAATCAGGGCTAAGTCCTTCACTGAATCATTCGAGAATATTTTTTTCTTTATTATTATCATAAAATTAAAGCATATTTTTCTTTATTATTATCATGAGTCATTTCCATGAAGAATGTCTAGAAATCTCAGTATACAAACCGCTGTAAAGTGAGATGTTATTTCCTTACGCATACCTTATCAGATCATAGAATCATTAAGGTTGGAAAAGACCTCAAGGATCATCAAGTCCAACCCAACACCACCTAACTCACTAAACCATGTCCCTAAGCACCACATCTACATGATGATGTACAAAATGCTTGATCAGGGAATGGAAAAGCAGCCATGCAATCTAGCAATCTAGCAGCACACTGTGCTACAAAAAATAATTTTGCTGTTTGAAAAAATTAAATTCCAGCTGAAACCGACAAGAACTCTTACCTGGACTGAAAAAATGGGAGGAAAACCAAACATGAACACCATATAGACGTATATCGGTGATTATCTGTAGAAGCATTACCAAAAAGAAACAAACAAACCCCTAACTTATTACTCCTAATCTTTAACTACATTGAAATATGAATAACACATTAAAATCTTTGCTGAAACAAGAGAGGTTCCAGGTATCAGAGATCTGTCAACTGGGGGGAAGTTTGAAGCCAGGTTAAGACTAGATTTAGGCCAATATTTCAATCACAAAAAAACTAGGAATAAATTACTATCTGAACGCACTCTTTCAATTCAGTAATATTGATAGAATACATACTCTGTAGAGAAATAAGACAACTGTGGAAAAACTGCTAGATGTGGTCTGGTGTCTAGAGTGTTTCCAGTTATGTCCTAAAAACCTCTTTATATTGTTTGCACTTGGCATTCACAAGCTTAACAGTCATTCTAGGTTAGTATGCTTCAAAGCCCACTTCCAATTGCCTCTTACCAGTAGATATTTCCAACAGGTTAGCTTATAAACGGTGAAGAAACCACAAGACAAGATGTTTCCAGTGGCTTTTATCATTAGTGGCTACCTTTCTCTGTAAGAACGTAGTGAAACGATAATAAATCCTGTTTTCTGTATGAAAAATTAATATGTTCCTTATGGCAATAGTCAATTAGAATCCAAGGAATTAACCGAAGCTGTTGCTTTACCTGGCAAAAGTTTTTATAATTTTAGTAATGAGATACTTTTGACCTTACGAGAAAACTGAAACAAACCAAAGTGAAAGCACTGTGTCTTTGCAAGCCAAGAGAAGTATACTATAATTTTATTCTAATGCCAAAGAGCAAGTTAATAAAAAACCCACGTCATTTATCTCTCACAATATTTAAAATGTTTCACATTGCATTCAGCAACTAATCCTGCACAATGTCACATATCACCTAACAGTTTTACAGCAACTCTGAATTTTCTGCGAGCTGGAAGATGAAGAAATACACTGCTCCGAGGTATGACAAACTATATGGAAACTACTTAAGCCACTGTAAAGCTGGAGAGTGCTCTTAAATTTGTTTAAGGCTTACCTTCCACAGTAGCATGTGAATTATATTAAGCAAATTAATATCATTAGTACCTTTTAGGGAAAAAAAAAACCCCAAACATAGGAATCTATGTGGAAAAACTGAGTAGTGTCTAGATTCTGTTGTGTAGCCTTTAAGATGTACAAATGAGAAGATGGAAGATAAGTTAGACGATTTGATCTCATCAACTTGTCCTTGCAACAAAGCATAACCATAGCAAGCAGTGCTTATATAGTACACCACCAAGATGATAATATCCCTTTTAAATAGTTAACTAATATAACTGAAAAATTTTACCAATGCGTTTTACTTTTTTCCTTTCCAAACTGAAAAATAAAAAGTTATTCAAAATAGGAAGCAGAAATTTTCCTCAAAAGAAGGAATCCCTGGAACTGGAAGCAAGATAACTCTGTAGACAACCAAACAAACTGTACAGCTTTTTGCCGCATTCACTCTCAGCAGCTGGAAGATCTTTTTCCCTTGACCTTTTAGATTTCAAATATTATACTGATATTCCTATACTACTACACATTTACTAAAGATACAAAATCAAACTACAATTTCAAAGGGCATATATTCAATATGCAAAGAGGTAAAAAATTTTGTCATCCAGTTGACCTGTGCAACTGAATTGCTGTGTTAATTTATTAAAAATTAAAGACTTAAAATAATTAAAAGAAGACATACACAATGAAACTATCTTCCTTTTAAAATAATTCAATTTCTTATAAGAATAAAACTTAGAAAAAATACTATAACATTATGAGACTAATTTGCAGACATAAATAACAAAATTCACAGTCACATTGGTACTCACCTGCTAAAAGCCTGGATGGCATAAAGCTTAGAAGTATCCAAGGAACTTCCACTTACTATCCGAGCCTTTAATAAAGACCAAAAATAGTAGAGTCACTCCTAGTAAGTCTTGGACAGAATTTAACTGCATCAAACATATAACACCTAATATGAAAATACTTAGCAGGGTCAGCTCCAGGCCAAAGCTAGAGTAACTATTGCTTTGCATTCAGCATTTAGTGAAACAGACTGGAAGAACCCATGGGAAGATAAGGTATTGCTTCCCAAATATTATTGTTATTTAAGTCCCGTAGTGTGTGCAGTGTAGATGATAATTAGAGGCAAAAAATCACAGATATCATGTTTGACAGTAGCAGACCCCTGTGTTGGCAATTATGATGAGCACAACAGTGAGGATTAACCTGTTTATAAATGCAACACATTTGCAATACACTCAAACGAGAACAAAAGAGTGGAAAGCCGGGAAAAACATGCAAATTTCACAACCAAAATGGAAGAACCAAACAGGTCAAATAAGTCACAAACAAACGTCAACAAAATACATGATCCCTAAAGTAAATACGTGATTTAAAACCTTTTCATCCACAGAACTGCTATCTGAAAGAGAATTGGGAAGAAGGGGAATATAGGTTAGACAAAACAGTCTCTGTGAAAACATCTTATGCTATAAAAAGCTGTCACTGTTTTAATCTGTTAATGCAGAACAGAATGCAAGTAACACCTGTGCTTAGTTGTATGTATCATTGTGGCAAGACCACTGTCAATACATTTTAAACAAGCAAAAAGTTGTGTTCAGTAGATAAGAACCCCTGCCATTTGTGCGGGACTATGTGGCTATCACAGTTTATACACTATATCCCATCTCCACATGATTTTTAGGGGTTTTGCTTTGATTTTTAATATACATTTTTAATACAAATTAATATATATTTAATATGGTTGCAGTGTTCAAAAATAATGCCCCTTTTTCAAGGAAGATGAGTGTTTCTGCTAAGGATACATACATATATATATAAATAAATCTCCTGAGCTGTTCCTACTCTATTCTATCACAGCTATTCATATAATGACAGAAATTGCCCTCCAAATGCCAATAGAAGAACTACAATTGTGAAACTATAAGATATGATCTATATATCTCTCATTATAAATTGCTTGATGCAAAAATGTGATGTACTCACATTTACTTTCAGACAGAAAGCATTTGCTGACAGGGAAAGGTACCCTTATTTTATTGCCTTGTCCATTTAAAAATACAAGTACGTTTAAAATTGTTCTTATATACTATTCTACCAATACATGCCTTTTTTTTTTCTTTTTGACACTTTATAGTACAGTGCATACATGAAACTGCATTGTTTTAATTGTCACCTTACTGATCTTTCCATTTTTCCTCTCCAAATACAGTACATGTTCTACAGGGCCTTTAAGTAGTTCAGGTATTTTTAAGATGTTTGGAAATATCCCAGATTATGTACATTACAAGATGATAATTTACACTTTAAACACATACCATGCTTCATTTTTAAACCAGTTTAACTCCAAGAAAATATCAGATTCAAACATATATGAAAAAGATATTGGCAGATGTATAGGTGCATACAGCACAGTAGTGACAACACAGGGAACCAACTTACGTGATCAAAGCATATGCACAAGAACAGGCAGAATAGAGAAGTTGTTCAAAACATGTTTTACCAGTCAGATTATATCTGATTCTGTATTATTTGAAAAGGTTAAAGAGGATTGAGCTACTAGGTATTAGCAATGTCACAACAGCAGATTTGAATCCACAAAAAAATCCAACTATGCAACAGTCTCTCCTCCTTTGTGAGACCACAAAATTTGCCATTTTGTTATGCTTGAATACAGATCTTAGCTTTCTTTTTACAACCATTGTGAACAATCCTTTTAGAAAGAGTATGCCTAAAAGAATGAACTATAATTTGTTGTCTCAAGGAAAACATACGTTTTGAACTATACAGAATATTAAATGAAACCTATTACTAATAGTAAATTCCATGATTTAGTAAAAAGAGAGTAAGCACATCTCTGTGCACTAAGAATATCTGTGTGCTGTGAATTGATTCTTTTCATAGTTCTTCTCCTAAATATAAATGGACATGATATCAATTTTTATGTTTATGTTTTATAAAAATCCATTCAGGTATTTTTTCTGCTGGGACATGAACTAACCTGATGTTTTCTCGCTTCACAACTCCACCTCTCCCTCCCCCCCACCCTTCAAGAATACTAGAATTTTTAGTTTTGCTTTGGAAATTAATTCTTGACTAAATTAAGTGATAGTGACCTAGTTCTCAAATTACCCTAATTTGACTGAGCAGACTTAGAAATTAGTCCAGTTGTTACATTTCCTCTTTTTTTAAAATTTATTTGTGAAATGTATTTGTGAAATTTATTTGTGAAATATACATCAAATATGATTGGTGACTCTTTCTCCACAGGCATATAAAGATTTGGACAACCACATGATCCTATTTTCCTACTCCAAAATGATTACAGCGTTTTCATAAGCAGGATAAGATCAGAGCCAGAAGTAACTAGATGATTGTAAGCTGGGCTGGCTGTGGAAACAAAATGGGACATGCCTTTATGAGGGCTAAAGGAAACACAAGGAATAGTTAAATCCAAAGTGCTGGAGCAGCATCTGGACATTCTTCTGAATGAGAAGAAAAGCAAGAGAGGAAATACCAAGAGGACTCTAAATAGGAGAGACTGAGACTGAATTAATTCTTAAACTTGTAAAAAAAGGCAGAGTCCAAAAGGTGAAGAGAAATTTGAGGACAGATGGAAATTTCAGGCAGGTCACCAACTTGTTAGGTAAGAAGCCTTGCCATAATCTGTTCATGCAACCTACACCTTCTTCCTAGAATACCTAATCATAACAATATTTGTAACACTGCCATTTAAAGATGCATAATAAATCTCAGTATTAGTTATGTGAAATGCAATTTTTAAATAGTTTGCAGGTACTTTGCTACCAGGTGCCTAAAGAATCACATGAATTACATGTTTAATTCAGTTTCTAAAGTTATACTAAAAAAACCTAAATTTTTGAGACTTGTCTTCCACATTAAATGGAATTTTGTATTTCAGAGCATGAGAGACGGACATATGAAATTTTCTTTACCTCTCTTGGGTTTCAGCCAGCTTCATCTAATTTCACTACACTTCCTTTAGTGGAACCTAATTTTTCCTGAATTTAGGAAGGAGAGTGACAATCAAAAATTAGGAAGGGAAAAAAGGTATTAAATGTTTGGTTTAACTTGTTTTTCTGTGCAGTTGCTACTTAAAAAAAAAAAAAACAACAAAAAACCCCCCCAAAACCACCAGTCTAATGTCCTCTTTTCTCAATAGAAATTGCATAAACCGACAACTGATGTAAATTTCCCAAAATGAGATTTTAAGAGCATCTCTTATTTGTAAGAAATGACCGCATCTTCAGAGACAAAATTTGTTTGAAAACTTCATTGTTTATTGCTTCTCTGAACTCCCTATGAGTGAAATAATCTGAATTGTGGAACTGTTCTCTGTGTGTATGAGAGCACCAAATCAGGAAGTGTACAGTCACCAAGCAATTCACTTTGGTAGTCATTAGGCTACCGGAATAGACAGCAACATTCTTTGATGCAGATAAGAAATGAACTGTGATTATGTAAGAGATCACTGAATGTATTTTCAAATCAGGGATATGAGGCTAGACATCTCAGATTATACTGCTAAAGAACAATGATTTCCTTAAAAGAGCTTATCTTCATGTAACCCATTTGCATCATCCACACATTCTATGACAAACAACTAACCTAAAAAAGTTATGTACGTACTAACAACAGTGTAAACACTGGTTCATTTAGTCAACCCTACAGGATACTTCTCATTTTATTTCAATTAGTTTGTTTCTCCTTAGATTTTTATTTTATGTGCAAATTCACTACATTATGAAATACCAGTATAGCCTTCATGTTATGGCTCTAACCATATGCCATTTTAGTTAACAGGAGGGTATTTTATTACGATTATAGGAAAAACCCATGGAATGATATTGCTCCAAAATTGTTGCTATTTCAGCTCATATACATACCTGTGTAGTGGAATGCTGATGAGTAGGATAGTCATCTAGCTACTTACTAGCAAAAATTGTATTTACAAATGTCAAAAATTCCCCCCCCCCTTTCTTTTTAGGAAGTTGGATAGTTTCAAAGTCAATTATATTTAATTAGGTAACTGGTAAAAAAGAGGAAAAACCTATTTTAGTTTAGTTAAGGATGCTGTATTAGTACAAGATTTCTGTTGTTCATTTAAATTTATATAATTATAACAATTAATACAAAGAAAAAGAAGAGGTAACGTATCATTAATTACAGCAAGGAAAGCATGATGATCAGCTATCATAGCACATTTCTCCAAATAAGCTTATTTTCTCTGCAGAATTCTTAAGAGCCAATGATAGAACACTAAAACTTTAGGAAGGAGAGGACAACCTTAAGGAATATTTAGCAAACCATATTTTAAAATGCTTCTGCTTAGCTAGGAAGTTCTCTCCAACTCCATACCATTCTTTACCACTTATCTCTAATCCTCCTTCTTTACTACCACTTCCTAAGTCTCCCATAAACAGACAAAAACCTTTGGGTAAACAAGAAATTAAAGTTATTTGCTTGTTAAAATTAGCCTTTAAGGTTTCATTAAGATGTTCCAGATGTTAAAAGGCTATATAACATTCAACATGACCACTAAATCCTGGCGACTGTTGAAAATGGTTCACAAGTATCCACTGAGGTAAGTCAGTCCCCAGATGGGGGGGGGAGTGGGGGTGTGGAGTGAGGGGAGGCTTATGTGGCATTCTTTCAGCCACCTCAAATAAGCCCCCAAATTATTTTCTGTCCACACATCAGTTTAAAGGTTTTGAGAAAGCCAAGTAAAATTTCCAACAAGTGTTTATTAATGACACATAATTACTATTAAAACTCAGTCTGAAAACGAACTTTACACTGTTTTCAACTGTTTTCAAATTAACATGCGGTCTGATTTATCAATGTTTCATA